CCCTCCGACATCAGTTCGGACTCTCCATGTCCGGTGATGTCCTGGTGTGCGGTGGTGTATGGATCACCGGACTGTCGGGAACAGTCCAGACACATACGTCCGGAATACAGTCCGGAAGTGTCTGGCATCCGGGTCCGCGGTTACCATATGGTTAAATAACTAAATAGTAAATAGTAAATAGTAAATTCCATTTAAATTTCACTTTCAAGTTTCAATTTCCATTTCAAGACTTCCAAGTCCAAATTCACGTTTTTTTAAATGAAAAATTTGAATTCGAAATTCAATTTCAATTTCAATTTCAATTTCCAAGTCAAGTTAAAATTGTGTGTTCCCTAGCATTCGACACATTCACGTTCTCAAATGTCAAGCATGTTTTGTCACTAGGAGTTAGGGGGGGGTGGGAATGGGGGAGAGAGGGCGGGGTCAGTATCAATGCTTGCTCACCAAATACTTTCTTAGGGAAAAGAACCGTCAAGATGCCAACCACATATATATAGCATCCTGTCCAGAGAGCCGCCTTTGCTGCCCTTGACCACTGCAGACCTTTCAGCATACCCCTCATGCCTGCTGCATCACGTCCACCATATCCTTCTCTTTGTGTGGGGCCACCGTTTTCATTATCTGACACAGCGGCCGGGTCTGTACTCGTCGTTGTTGTTGTTGTTGTTGTTGTTATGTGTTTATGAGCTGGAAAGACCCTGAAGGACAAGACAAAGGCATAAATAGGCAACATTCCCAGCTCATAAATACACAACATCGACCTCAGAGTCTCAGACCCTGAAAGGAGAACATACAGTAGTCCAGGGTGACACAGACAGACACAGACAAACAAATCATGAGTTCAAGTCCTGATCAAACCAGGCGATAGTCCGGGAACAAGGTCACACTTGCACCAATTAAGACAGATCTTGGCAACCCATTCTTGCTTTTTGCGTCCCGGACTATCACCTGATTTGATCAGGACTTGAACTCGTGATCAGTTTGTCTGTCTGTCTGTCTGTCTGTTTACGAGACATTGTTATTCTGTCTGGTTGTCTGTTAAGACACTTCTTTTTCTGTCTGTCTATCTGTGTTTATCTGCGTAACGGCAGTGGCAGGCACCTCAGTCCCACAGCAATAACAGGCTCCTCAGTTCAACTGTGATGGCAGGCATTAGATGCAAACAGTGAGTGCAGCCAGGCACACAAACAAAGGCGCAAGAGACTGGAAGTTGAGGGGGGGAGGGGAGACACACACACACACACATACACACACACACACACACACACACACACACACACACACACACACACACACACGCAAACAGTGAGTGAAGCCAGGCACACAAACAAAGGAGCAAGAGACGGGAAGTTTAGGGCAGGAGGGAAACGGGAAGTTTAGGGCAGGAGGGAAGACACACACACTCTCTCTCTCTCTCTCTCTCTCTCTCTCTCTCTCTCTCTCTCTCTCTCTCTCTCTCTCTCTCTCACACACACACACACACACACACACACACACACACACACACATATTGAATGCAGTAACTGCGACTGCGAGAACTGGCTGCAGTGCTTCCACAGGCCACACCCGAACTACTCCTGCCCGGTCTGTAGAGATGGCCACTTACCATAGGCACTTACCATAGGCAACGGTTGTTCGTCAAATCTTATGCAACCCACACACTGACTGGCCTCATGTGCCACTCTAGTTTAGAACCCTTAAACAGAACCTTAGTTCTGGCTCCTTTTCCATTCTGGGGAGCATCAGTCCGGTTCCTCTTCCACCGGCAAGTCAAAAAAAAGCCCTGTTAGAACTCCACCTCCCATTTCCTCCCTCCCTACTCTTGTGTGTTACTAGTAATACATACGAATGAGCATCAGACAAAATATGAGTTGAAGATCTGAGAAGAAGTGAACAGGAATATACCTCCGCCTTTACTCTGCCTCCTTTCATCGTGTGCAAGTGGGCCGTTATGGCACACGGGGATGTGGGCAGCTCGCGCTCAACCACAATCAACGTGGCGAGCCTTGTGCATGAGAGGCACGGTAAAGGGGGAGCTGCAAGAACACACACACACACACACACACACACACACACACACACACACACACACACACACACACACACACACGCACAAAAGTATGGGTGTGGGATATGTGTGAGTGTGTGGGTGTGTGCCACTGTGTGGGTATGAGGGTGTGGGGGTGTGGGGTTGTGGGGGTGTTTTCAAGTTGTATGCAGAGGAGCATTGTTTGTGTTTGACCATCCCAGATGTCAACCAACAGGACGTGTGTGTATGTGTGTTAGTGGGGAGGGGGAGGGGTCTCATTGTGTGCGCAAGGAAATGAACGTGTTTGATCATCAGTCAAGTAGATTGATATCTTTATTGATCAACAGGGTAATGCATAAGCGTTTGGCCGCATTCATTCCATGCAGTAACAGGTAAAGTCCATGACACAAAAAAAAAAAAAAAAAAGAAAGAAGTCCCTGATACAAAAAAAAATAAATAAATCCATGATACCAACCCCACTAGCACTCCACAAAACGAACAAGGGGAAGGACCACACTCTCGGCTGACAGGCTCCGCACCTCAGCGCTGTACGTGTGTGTGTGTGTCCTGTCTGTGCTGTGTGTGTGTGTGTGTGGT